AATAAAAATAAACACACAAAATAAACTACATGTTTTTTCTTTTGGATGTATCACAAAATAAATCTGATGTTTCATCCATCATCCAATATATATAGAAATGGTCGAATATTTCACATGAAATTGGAATCTTTCTCATAGGCATCATTCCAGTCATGACACTTCACTCTATCAACCAAAATTGTTCAAAATCTAATAGTTTCTATTAAACAACCCCCAATCATCCTGTAAAGTCAGATTTTATATAAAGTTTCGGGGGGAAGGTTATAGTGTTCGCAAATATTTGCGTACAGCGTACAATATCCATGGATACAGTATCCATTGATATATTTTTATCTAATGTTATTTATCTTGATTCTAAAAATGTTCAAAAAACTTAATACAAAAAATATAATGTTCAACGAATCATAAAGAGATCATCAAAAATCATTCCTTGATGTGATTGGACGCTGGATTAATGAATAAACCACCCAACATCCAATTAACTTAATGAATTAAACTTCAGGATAAGAAATGTCAACAATTCGAACTGAAATAAAAATGCAATGTTTCATCCATCATCCAATTTTTCTATATACTAATCGAATACTTCACATGAAATGTCAAATGAGATGTAGAGTTTTTATCCATTCATTCGTATTTTTGAAACCCAACTTATTTATTTATCCATAAAATATAACTCATCCATGGATAAACTAACATCTATTCTATCCATGGATGCACTATAACTCTCCTCTATCCAAGTGGATCTCTATCTCTTTCTTTTCTTCATGAATAAATTTATGATGGATGGTGGATGTACCTTATCCATTAAAAAAACATCCATGGATATTACTTATCCAGTCCTTTTAAAAACAAAATCCATCCATGGATGAATGGATGTTGGATAATGGATAATTTTGGGGACCATTGACAGTGAGCCAGAAAAATACGTTGCCGTTTTATTTTCATCACGATTTGAGCTCACTTTAATTCTCACCCGTTCAATAAATCCCAATTTCAGCTTTGAAAATCAGAGCATTTTTGGAAATGTCTCAATTACGATATTATCAGTTCTGAAAACCCTTCTATAAAGGTAGAATTACGCAGAAAATGAGCCATTTGCTACAAATGGCATACTTTTCAAACCATCATCACTCCACATATCCATATGATTTCCATTCTAATGAAATTAGTATTTACTTTTTCTGCTTAAGTAGCAAAATATTTAACGAATATAATTATGGGAACTATTAAAGCATTTTCCAAGTTTTTCTTTGATTCGCTTTAGTTGCAATTAACAGCACATGTTTTGATGCCAAACATTAACATCAAATTTGATTTTAATGCTTCTGGACGGTATCATTATTGAATTTGAATTTAAATTTAATTCAATTAAATTTTGGTATGATAACACATTCTAGTTTCATACTATTTTTCATTCCATGGTGATAGCTTGAGCAGTGAACATTAAAATATATAAATTGAAGAAAATATTGTTTTACACAGAAAATTTGATTAAAAAAGTTGTTTAAAACCATAATTGTAATGGCAAAATTCAAAGTGCTTAAATTGAATCGATTGTTAATGTTGTACGCAGGTATTCATTCGAATAACTTAAATGAGCCGACCAATGAATTTTTCCGCTCGATAAGTGCCTACTACATATCATACAATTTAATTACTGGTTTAACTGCTAATCTTTTGCTAATGCACAAGTTTTCATCGGATATTTCAAATATGATACGCATCAGCTATGTTACTTTGGCTACACTCCAAGCTTTTTGTATGTTTTTCGCTGTTGGTCTTCATATGAAAAAGGTTAAATACTTACACCTCGAAATGCAAGCCATTATTGACGAAGGTTTGATTTTAATAGATTAAATAATACTTTCATGCTCTTCAAGTATTAAAATAGCCTTTAATTTTGTTTAGATAACGGAGAGGAAGTAACTGAAATATTCTGGAAAAATGAGCTGAAATCACGGAAATACACAAAAATATATATCTATGCAATTATATTGAACCAAATTGCCAATACGGTGCCAATGGTTTATTACTTGTTTTTGTATTGCATTGGTTACACTGACACATCGACATGGCAATTATTCTTCGAAATAGAGCTACCTTTTAATGTGAACGGTTTATGGACATTTATGCTAGCATGGTTCATAGAATATAACATGGCTTTATCGTATTTTGTGGCAATGGCTTCATCAACAACGTATTTTATTTGTTGCTGCATTTTTATTGATTCGATGTGCGATTATTTCGCTTATATAATTCAATCGGCCGGAAAAGATGCTGAGAAAATGCAAATGGAAAGTAATACATCAAAGAAAATCAAACTACGGCAAAAAATGACGAGGAAAATCGTTAAATCAATTGAAGTTCATGCCAAAACATTAGAGTGAGTTGCAAAAAGGAACACATCAAGTAAATTCTAAATGCTTGCCTATTTCAGGATATTTGAAACAGTGGCTGAAATAAACAGCACGGCAATATTCATTCTGTTACCACTCAATGCTGTTTTTCTGGCTACCACAATGTTTGACACGGAAAGAGTAAATTTTTGTTTAATTTTTATTTTTCAACGTTTTTCATTTTATTGTTTCTTATCTGAAGATGGAATACAGTGCAGTTGGGATTGCCTATGGCGCGCATCATCTAATTTGCAGCATGATTTGGAGCATTCAATATACGTATTTTGCAACTTTTACTATCGATCATGTAACATCACTCGGTGATGATCTTTATAAATTAAATTGGTATGATTTTCCTGTGGAACTACGCAAACATATCATGATCATCATCATGCGATCACAAAGAGTTACTCGATTTACCGGATTAAAAGTTGTAAGTTGTACTCTAGAAGCCTTGGTAAGCATCATTAAATCAGCTTCTTCATATTTCTTGATTATCAGACAGTTAGAAAATTAAAATGCGAACGATACACAATATGCCACAAAATTTGTGGTTCTTGCACTTGATGATATACAACATTTATATTGTAATAATGTTCTATTCAATTCAATACAAAATAAGGAATTCATGCACCACAAAAATTTAAAGCACACTCACTGTATTGTGTTATAATTATTTTTTTCTCATTTTTTACAAACTTTTACTTGTTGAAAATTAAGTACATATTTTTAAAATCAACATTGGATTTTACACAGTAAGAAAAAGAATCTAAATTAACCAATCATATAATTTGACTTGATATTATTTGCGTGAAGTTTTTTTTTTTCATTTTTTTTAAGAACAGATTAAAACTTCTATATTTTCATATAAACGAAAAAAAATTCTGTCTCAAGTAGAAAAAAACTATAGAAATGTTCGCCCAATAAATATTTTACTATTTGGTGTCCTTTGGAATAATAACCCCAATCTTTTCACTTCAAACATATAATTTACACGCTCGTTTCCTGTTTTTAAGCTCGCCATGACCGTTGATAATTATCGACGAGTAATTATCGGAGTTCTTTAAGATAAAATAATTTTCGATTGTTTGTTTGTATTTCTTTTAATTAGATGTCAACCTCTTGTAATAATAGGTTAAAACGCCCTTAATAATATGGTTACTTTTTCTCAAATTTCCCAAAAAAATGTGTATAAAATAGAAGTGTTGACGCTCAACATCACGTTAGATTTCATTTGTTCTTGAGGTTACAAAATGGAGAGGACAGCTAGTGACAAGGCGTTATATTTGAAGAAAATCAGTGATCGAATGTTGATTGTGTTTCGTACAGTTGGAATGTGGCCCGATACTGAATCAAGCATATTTTACAGTATTTACGGTATTCTGTTGCTCGCAATATTTTCAATTGCGTTCACTTCCACGATGATGATTCAACTCATTTGCTTCACCAAAAAAGAAGAGCTAACTGAAACATCTTATATGGCATTAACAGAATTGGCGTTAAGTGTAAAAATCATCAATTTCTTCTTGCGAGTTCGATCCATGCAATCCCATTTAATTACTGGAAATCAATTTAAGCTTTATTCGGCCGCAGAGCATGAACATTTTGTGAAACGTCTGAAATTTGTCTTCAAATTGCTTATGGCCGATTTTTTGTTGACAAACATAGCGCATTTATCCGTTCAAATTAAAACTATAATGGCATCGGAAAGAATGCTTGCATTTCCAGCGTGGCATCCCATTGAATGGGAAAATGATGCACAGAATTATTGGTTGATTTTCGCATACCAAGTTATAGGAATGACCATCACAAGTAACATTCAAGTTGTGATTCAACAATACCCAAGTTTAATGTTCTTTTTGGTAAGCATACAAATGGAAATTCTGTCGATGCGTCTTAGAAATAACGGATATGATGAAAGCCGAACAAGTGACAGCACAAAATTAACCAAAGAAGACAAAACCATCAAGATATTCTCCAACGAAGAGGAAAGACGCATTTCAAACACCATGAAAGATTGCGTGAACGTTCATTATAAAATTCTTAAGTAGTTCTTGCTGTATATTTTCTCAATATAATCATCATAAGAATCAATTCATTTTGAATGTTTTAGATTTGCGAAACAGCTTGAACGTGATTTCACAATTCCATTTTTTGTACAAATTTGTATAAGTGGTATTGTTATTTGTAGCTTGGCAAATGAAGCGGCTCGGGTAATTTTTACACAATTTTTATTAAAACAAAAACCCCATTTTCAGTTTCTTCTTTTTCTAGACAAATGATCCTGTGAAACAAATCAGTTTCGGAACCATTCTTCTTACAATGTCATTTCAAATTTATTTTCCATGCTATTTTGGAAATGAAGTCATGGCCACATCAAATAATTTATCAACAGAAATGTACAAATCCAATTGGATTCACTTCAATGCAAAACAAAAACAAATGGTGTCTATGTTTATTGAAGGCACAAAGAAAAACAAGTACATATTGATTGGCAATTTATTTGTTCTCAGCTTACAAACATTTAGCTCGGTAAATTGATATTTTTTGTGTGCAATTTTTACATATTTAATGCTTTTCATTTTCAGATTTTAAACGTGGCTTACCGTTTACTTGCTGTAATTAAAAATACAGCATAACAGGGCAAACATTTATGCTCGTTTGAAGCCAATACGACTTCAGTAACGCGTATTAAAACAATTCACGCTTCGTGTATACTCGGCACATCATCGCTGCTTTACGGAATATCAGCCGTTGAGTTCACTGCGAACTGTCGTGCATCTAATGCATGTGTTTGCTCACAGCTATACACAGTCAAAGAAAGTTCGCACAAAAGGGAATGAAAAATTTACATATGTCTACTTGATGTTTTTTGACCATGTCGCAGTGAATTCTACTGCTGATATTCGCCTAAGCAGCGAAGATGTGCCGAGTGTACACGAAGTGTGAATTCTTCTAATACGGGTAGTAAAAGTCGTATTGGCTTTAAACGAGTGATAACAATGCAACATGGAAAAATTACAAATATCGCAAAGCAATACAAACAATTCAACGTAAATTACAAAAAGCCTTTTCGCAAATATTTTTGTGTTACTTTAAAAAAAGCAAATTTGACTGGCGATTATTTAAACAATTTTGTAATCATTTTTTATTTTTTATCCTTCAGTATGAATGGTAATTTTAGCAAAGTTAACGATCGCGTAATCGATGTGTATTGCGTTGTTAAGGCTCATTTTCTTGATCGTTTTTCATTTTTTATCAAGTCATTTCCCTCCTTGACAACATTTTGATTGATCGCTGAAACTTGTTCTATTTTAACGATACCTGACGTTCTTAGAAACACGCGCTCATCTTCTAAAATATCGTACTCAGTATATTGAGTGAGTATGAATATGGTCGTACAAAATATAGTTCCAAAAAAAAAGATCGTCCAGGTTAGGTAGGCTAATGTAGTGCGAAAAATATTTCCTCTGAAATATCACACACAAAATAATGGCAGACATTGAAAAAGAAATAAAATAAAGTTAAGCGGCCAAGTTAAAGTCTCACTTACACCGTCAATGTATATTTCATTAAGTTAACCAAACTGTCTGGTATTTGAAACATATTCTTTTCGGCCCAAACCTTGGGAAAAGACAAATTTATTATGTGGTGCTCTGAAAAGGAAGTGCGAGTTAAAAGAAGGAAATGTCAGTCACCCATGGAAATGTCATGTTCGGCAAATTTTTCATGATTTCGATTTCTGCCACAGGTTCCAAAGGAAAGTTAATTTGCACTCTGGCTGCTACTTTTAAAGCGACACCCGTTTTCTAATAAAAAAAAAGTTTGGAGTAATACCAATGATTTAAATATGTTTTCCTTCAAAATCACCAATGGTGATGCACCAACCATTTCTAATGTGATTGCAAATTCATGTTTTTTCTGGTCAGGTTTCAGTCCGTCAACGATGTTAGCCAGAAGTGATGGATCAGCATGGTAAAAGTGTGGTTGACTGATAATTACTGGCACTTTAAGGCATTGATACATATCCATCGTCCCTTGAATTGGACACCGATCAGGTTTTCGACAAAAGCAACTAAACTCATTTGTAGCCGTTATATTAAATTCTTGAGCAAATACCTACAATTTTAACGAACCAAAAGAGATTCCATATAAATAAGCAGAAAGCATGAATCAAATACGAAAATACATACATGAAGATCAATGCCACGATAGATAGCTTTTCGTACAAATTTCATTTGTAACGTAAAACACAATTGTCTAACGAACATCAACATCGGCTTCTCGATCGTCTGATAAGGAACAAACACTAAAGTATCTCCACCTGCGAAAAGAAAAAAAGAGCATGTCAAAAATTTGATTTATTATAGCAGTTGGGCTATCGCTTGGAATAAATTTAAACCGGTGATTTGATTGCATTTTCCTTCTTTTCCCCAAACTGTCAATTCCTATAGAAGGTAAGACGAATAGTAAGAGAAAGACGAATAGTAAACTTAGAATTTCTAATTACTCTTTGGCCATCAACTGCGACCACATTTCCAGCGTCGTAAATGTTCTTGATTCCTCGATTCATTGTCCAGTAGCCATTTACTGTTCGATTAAACTAAAATTAATTTAACAAAAGCTAAAAACACGTTCAGAAAATGTTTGCTTTGAAAAACTTACACCGCCCAAAAATGAAAATTTCATCCGTTGAGTATCAACTCGTTGAATCATTTGAATACCAGATTTTCGAATCATTCGACATGCTATTTTAGCCAACGGATTGGTTGTACTGCAATCAATTTCAATGCCATCCGAAATAAGGTCCATGGCACGTCCCGTCCAAAATACGTCTTTTGGTTCGTGAAAAATTTCATCGATTGCCGTACTTGCAACGTGGAGATATTGACGCATTTCGAAATGTGCAGTCAATCCAATTGCTACAATTACTGTTGGGAAAGTAAATGTATGTGAGATCAATTAGTATTTACACTGATTATACGTTCGTCATGATTCGATGAAGGGCAAAGGTGCAGTAAATAAATATTTGATAGCGATTGATTTTTGTTTCATTAACCTGGATGCAGCGTTGTAATAATCTCTTCACCAGTTAGACCATTGCTTAAATCAGGACGAAACAACCATTCTTTATTAAGATTAAATGACATTGTGTCTTCTTCTTCATCGTCAGAAATATTGTTTTTCCAGTCAATTTCGCTGTAAATTGATAGAAAATGATATGTGAAGGAATTTAAGCAAAAATTACAGACGTAAATTACTCAAATGAATATGGTCCCATCTCTTTGAAATGTGGTTTTGCTCCATTTTTCACCTCATCCTTATTCAATATGTGAAATATGTAGACTTGGTAAGTTAAGGGAAATGGCAATGCCTCATAAATGCCTCTTTCGATGCCACCTTTTTTCAAATTTAAATTCTAAACAAGCGAAAATTGAATATTTTTTTTGCGATAATTGAAAAATCAATGATTCTTACATTTTTAACAATGAAGTCTACTATTAGGTCGAAGATAAAATAGCAAGTTGCGAAACTTATCACAAACAATCCGCCAAAGATGATGGCCAGACGGCCATAGCTACGACGTTTGAATCGAAATGGTTGTGACATGATTGATCTGTTCAGTTTTCAAACCGACAATTCACAATTTACCGTTGGTTCGAGCGTGGGTCTGTTCTATTCAAAAGGCAGAGAGCTACTGATTGAAAGGTCACCCTTATTTGTAAAACTCACTTGTTTTGCATTTTTGCAGCTGCTATCACACCACAGAAAAATGAAGATATTATTAAAGAAATAACCGCCACTTGTTCATTTGTTTATCGACCCAACAGTTTAATAATTTACCGTGAACCTTTTGCCAAGCATAAATTGAACTAAATTGCTACATTTAATTACCCATACAAACCATTTGCTTCTTCCAATGTGCTTTAAAATATCTGAATTATTGAATATTGACATTTGCATTTGATCGCATTGAAATTTCTCTTTCAATTTAAAATGTGAATAAAACACACAATTTGCAACTTTGTTCGCGTGAAGTTTTATTTGTGTATATAAAGCAATTTTATTAATTTTTGAATTATAAACTGATTTATTTAAGTGTTTAAATTTTCAACTTATATGGCTCTAATGTGATTCTAATAAGGGTTCAATGCATTTCTTTTTGTGTAAATTGCAAAAATTATGATATATTATGAAAGTCTTTTTTGTTTTAATTCTATTTAAGTATTTAGTGTCGTACACAAAAACATATATTCGAGTACGGTTACTCGCTTGCACATATGACTCGTGAGATGGCGTATAAACGACGCAAGTTTTTGTGGATTGTGTTACTGTTAGCAGAGAGTTACGCACTCTATTTTACTCTATTTTTGGTGTTAATTTCATTAACGTGAACACATCATAGTGAAAGAAGAAATACATGTGTACTGTGAAGACATAGTCATATGTACGTTGAACGCATGCGGCTATGATTACACAGTACACATGTATTTCTTCTTTCACTATGATGTGTTCACGTTAATGAAATTAACACCAAAAATAGAGTAAAATAGAGTGCACAACTCATTTTGAGGGGTAGACTCTCTGCTAACACCGCAGGTGCGAGTAAGCGTACCCGAATATTTGTTTCTGTGTACTAGTAATAGAGGAGTTTTTGAATATGAAGCTCAAGCGTTTAAGGTTTTGGTTGGTCAAAATCATTTTGTAAATGACCTTTATTGGCAGCACTTGTTGCCCTAGTTACGATTTCATTCACTAATAAAACGGCATCGGTTTTTGGTAAACAATTTTTGTCATGTTGATCTTTTTCATTAGCTTCCACACCGTTAAAGTCTTTGAGCGGCTGTTCACTAACCATTGTAACAATCGGTCCAATTTTTGAGATTTGTGGACTTCTTGTAAACAACGCATCCTTTTCTAGAACATTAATATCGGTATATCGAGTCAGTAAGAATATAGTTGTACAGCCAATGGTTGCCAATAGCCAATATGTCATAGTTATCCATTGCAGCGCACAATGTGCTGTTAAACCGCTGAAACAATCAAAGTTAAGTTTATTAAAATTCTCTCTAATAATTCTAATAATAGTACATTTTATGTATTTAACTTACAATGTCAACGTGTATTTTAGCAAATTTACCAAATAATCTGGTAAATCAGCTGACTCTTCAAACCAAACACATGGGAATATCATTTTTGGTAAATTTGCCATGATTTCGATTTCTTTGACTGGTTCAACTTCAAAGTTCACTTGCACTCGTCCAGCTCCTCGTAACGGTACACCTGAATACTAAATGGAACCAATTTCAATTTATTTCATTCAAAAAATAAATCGTATATTCGTGAGAAACCTTACCATTTCCAAGCTGAGGTAAAATTCATGTTTTTCTCTAACCGGTTTCAGGCCAGATGCGATATTTGCTAGTAGTGATGGATCCGCGTTGTAAAAATGTGGTTGCGATATGGTAACTGGCGCTTTAACGCACGGCATCAAATCCATTGTACCTTTTTTTTGAAAATGAATTTCATTAAGAATTTATATAAAATGATTAACTTGAATAGCTTGTTACCGCGAGCCGGACAGCGATCTGGTTTTCGACAGAAGCAACTTAAACTATTTGTTGAATTTATTTCGAAATTATTGACGAATGTTCCAAGATCAACACCACGAAAGCTTGCTCTGCGTGCATAGCGTAGATGTAACGATGCACATATTTGACTTGCAAAAATGGATACCGGCTCCTTTTTACTTTGAAGCGGAGTAAAGAGCAATCCATCAGTTCCATTCAACTTATTACATTCATCTCCATTCCAAACATCCATCTCAGTTATTCCATCAACTTCAAGTACATGTCCAACGAATCGCACGTCTCTTACACCTCGATTTACTTTCCACACCCCGTGCGATGTATTATTATACTAGAAATGTCATTCGAAAAATATTTAAAAAAAAAACAATCATTGAATCCCAATTTAAAACTTCTACTTACTCCTCCCATGAATGAGAATTTCAATCGTTCCTTCGTAATTTTTTGAATCGATGGATGTGCACTTCTTCTCATTTCCCCGCATGCAAGTTTTGACAGCGGATTTGTTACCCCACAATCAATTTCAATGCCATCGAATAATAAATTCATTGCGCGCCCTGTCCAAAAAACATCTGTTGGTTCATGGAATATTTCGTGAATCGCCTGAACGGCCACGTGTAAAAACTGACGATATTCAAAATGGACGGTCAATCCAATGGAGGCAATTACTTTGAAGAATCAAATATGATTACATTTTAAAAAAAAGAAAAATAAATACACGATTGTTTGACCTTTTAATCCACACGTTAAATCGGCCAATGCCAATTCTAGCAGTAATTGTTGTGCAATAGACGTGTAAATAGTTAAATGCAATTGATTTTTACCTGGATGAATAATGGTTACAATCTCTTCACCAGTAAGACCGTTACTTAAATCGGGACGAAATACATATTTCTTCATTGTTGTAAAGGTCATGGTATCTTCTTCAACGTTGTCACTGATATTTTGTTTCCACACATATTCGCTTGAAAATGCACATAAAACATGAAAAAAAGACACATCATTCCCATGAGATAAAAATTTGTGACGACCTATCGTATAAAAACGAAGTAAATTTGATATTGTAATGTAATTTACTCGAATATATATGGACCAATTTCCTTGAAATGCGGTTTTGCTCCATTGTGCACTTCATCTTTATTAAGCACATGAAATATGTATACTTTGAAGCTTAATGAAAATGGGATATTTTCATAGATTCGTCTTTCAATACAATTTTCACGTAAATTTAAATTCTGAAAGAAAATAGTTTACGGACTTGCATATATTATAACAACATCACCACTTTGGATTTCTTTTAATATGACAATGATTTCAAGTCACTCAATTCAACACAGACACACATTTATCACACACTTACCAATTTGATGATTTTCACAAGTATTCTATCAAATAAGAAATAGCATAAAAAGCAACCAAGCAAAAATTTCCCACCATAAGAAACAGAAAGTCTCCCATAGTTTCGATTTTTAAATAGAAATGATTGAAACATAATAAAAAAAATTAAAAAGACAACAAGGATATATTTTGAAGTGATATGTCTTTACGTGTGCACTTTGTTCGGCACACAGGTAAGCACTGAATACACGATTATGTACTTTATTTCAGCGTTGTTAAGTGAATCGGTTATTTTGCATTTGTAACAGCTGTTATCATGCGCTAATAATATCGCCATAAAAAGTGGATAAAATCGTAAACAAATCGTTTGGTTTATCGGCCCAAACGATTTCAGTTCAATTATTCATACCTACCGTAAACCCTTTATCAAATCCATTTCAAGCATTGTTTATTGTCTGTTTCAAACAAGTTTTTTTTTGCCTTTAATAGTACAAAATTAAAAACACCCAGTTAATTTATTATTAAAGTGATAAATGATATTTTTATTTATTCCATTGAAACTTGTATCGATTTCGGAAAGGAAAAAAAGAGATTAAATGACGAAAAAAGACACTCTTATTTTCTAATGAAAAAAATTGAAAAAAAAGTAAGAATACACCGAATTATTGTTAGTTGAATAGGTGTTTTTATAGCATCATCTAGTCATTTAGATTATTCAAATTTCCAACGAAAAAAAAAATGTGAAAAATGAATCTTCAATAACTAAAATCTATATTTAAAAAAAGACACAAAAAACCCTACTCTGATGTTCGGTTTCAATGAATTTTTTGTTGATGTAACTGTTTTTGTCCTTATTTTTCAAAGCAATTTCGAAATGTATCGAATCAAATTGTTCATAATTGCATTTTGTGAAAATAAAATTGATTAACTCTATATGATGCTAACGTGTGTTAATTATTTTTCTGATTGTGTATTTCGCTACATAATTTCTTTTCTTTTCATTTTATTTAATTCTTGTCATGTTGTTCCATTAAATAGCACAAATCAAAATGATTTTATATTATTGTTGTTGTTGTTTTACACGTCACGAAGTTGTTGTTGTTGTTTTTGCTACATATTCAAGAATATAATTTCAAATCGATGAATCGATTTACTAATACTATATTACGAAAAGAATATATTGTGATAGCGACAAAGATTATAGTGGAAATTAAAAAAAAAATTGTATTATTATATGTATTGAAAATGGAAAACGGCATATTTCAAAAAAAATTGATGCACGCTCGCTCGGTAGACAAATTCTCAATTGATGTAAATATATATGTGTTTATATATATATTTATTCGCTGGCCTCTTGCATGGATAACGGCTTAATGGCGAATTACATTTCGGTTTTGAATGCTTGGACAATAGGCCCCATTGATGTTTGTATGTGTTGTTTTTTATTGTGTGTATTTGTGTGTGTGGATGTCGGTGTATTAGTGAGTGTTTACCACAAACCGGATGAGAAACCACCTATATAAAATATAAAAATTTATATTATAAGCAATTACACGTAAATTTTTTTCTGTATTTCATCTCTTACCTGGCGGTATGCGATTTTTGTAAATCTCTTGTTTGGCACCGTTTAGAGCTGGTACAGTTGTATTAATTTCGGCTGCAACGCGCTTGTATCCTTCGCCAGTTATCGGATTTCCATCTAAATGAAACGGAGAATTCATTATATTTATATATCAAACAAATTGAATCAACAAAATAAAAATGCAATCTGAAAATTAAGTTCCAAAAATTATAAAAAAAAACAATAAATTAATCAAGCTATAAATAAACCATGATAACCAATAATAAAAATGGGTTCTACGATAAATGCAACGGGTAAAGATAACAAAACTCAATCAGAAACGAGGTGGGCATAAACTAAACAAACAGAAAAATGTATTCCCCGGGAGTAAAAAAAATAATGAAAATAGAAAGAAATAAAAGCCAAAATTCCATGTGAAATTCGGGTTGAAAAATCGGGCGTCGAATTTGGCAGATGTGGGGAAGTTTTTTTGGTTGTTTGTGATAAGAGTACCTCGTTCAATTCGTCTGCGTCCACGATATAAATCAGCGGCTTGGCAATTTATTCCTAAAACGGGATTGCGTGGTGACGATGGCTGAAATCGTGGCGATCGTGTTAGAGCGGCCGTTGCCGACGAATCGGTTTTTCCCGATGAAATCGAAACGGATGAATTATTCGTGAACATCGACGATGTTGATGACGCCGATAAATTTGTTAATGGTGCATCAGCATATCCATTACCAATTAAACGATTGTGTTTAGTTGGGGTTGCTAAATGGAAACCATTCTGCTGCAATTCACGTGACTGTGGAATTTTTCGGGGTTTTGGCGAATCCAACGATAAAAGTGAGCCTGTGAGTTTTGTTTTTTGTGTTTTCGTTAAAACATTTATCGTTTTATGCGAAAAAAAAAAAGAATTGTTTCGCGCGTATCAAAGATATTATCATCATGATAATGTTGTCCAGATTTACATAATGATGGGGAAATTAGTAAAAGCAAATAGAGAAAGACGAATAGTATACTTAGAATTTGTAATTACTCTTTTGCGAAAAAAAAAACGATGGAAATTTAGGTCAAAATTAACTTAAACACAAATACTCTCAAGTGCTATTAACCTTGATCGAATTGCGTTTTACCACATTTGAATTTTATTCAATACACATAGGCCATTTACGTCATACTACGCAATTCATTACACAAAATCCATCGGCCCAATTACTGGCCGTGTAGATTGTTTAAAATACAACGAACGAAATATGTAGAAAGGAATTAAATATTTACCACGAGATCCATTGATATGGCCATTGGTGCCGTTAACCTTAGCATGTCCATTTTCATGAGCCACACCATTTCCGTTAGTAGCAGCGGTGGTTGCAACAGCTGCAATACCGTTTCCGTTCATAGTTCCGTTGCCATTGGTTACTTTCGGTGCATCGGTGTCATCCTTACCAATTGGGATACTGCTTTTCTGGTAGCTCTTCGGGGTTGGAGGAACTCGTTCAACGTCGCCAAACAAGCGATTATGTGAGCTAACGCCCGTACGCTTTACTGCTGAATCTTATTTTTTTGATGAAAATAAACAAAATAAAAAATAAATAAATACCAATTTTTCATAATTGAAATGAGATTGTGTTATGTTTAGTTTCTCGATCATTCTACAACTGATTAATGCATTAAATTTGAATTGAGTAAATAAAATGTGTGGTGCACATTGTTTGCATATGTTCTATGGGCATGCAAATCTTGGTTGCATGAAAGTCGTGATTTAGCTGTCTAGTTTAGAATCAAAATTGTGAAATTGAAATGCTTAACATTCGAATGCGTGGAGAATGAGATGAATTGAGTAGTAACTGGTGAATTAGACATTTATCGGATTATGCGATTAGTTAACGGTATTCTTGGAAAATTCGAATTAAACAACATCAAAACACCAATTCAAATCTACTTATGAGTAAAAGCGGCAGACCAAAGAAATCAGTCCTAATTGAATAATCGTCATTATATACGCTCGCCTTTTTCTACTTGATTCACTCGATCGATTACAATTGGTTCATTGGTTGAGCCGAATCAAATACGAAAATTTCCTCATTTCGGTTTAATTTGGTTTGAATTTTTCCCTCACAACATATTACCATGCATTCACGTATCGACGCATGAAATGTGAAGAACCGGAAGAATTGCTCGCTTTTCAACACTAATCACGCATCCAATGGCTGCAACTAAGTAATCAAGAAGAAAAAGAACGCCGAACAATACTGCGGCAAGAGTTCCGTGCACGTTGAATATACCGCGGTAATTTTGTTCGGAAATTATTGAATTTGTAACGTATTAGTACATTTATTAATCGCATTATTTCATGATATTTTCTTTTATTCATTTCGGACTTTGGCGTTTCTCTTAACTTTACTGCTCATCTCCAGTTCATGAATGCTTTATGGTTTTATGGCAATTTCATTTACATAACATTAGAATTTACTCCAGCAATGGCATTACGATGTGATGATGGGTGTTATGTTATGTGTTAGCACAAAATCGATAGGTCAATGTACACAAAGACACATTGTGCACTGCACATACTGTGTTGTATGCTCATTTTTTTTTTTGTTACTGTATAAATTCACTGACCCCCCGAATCACTCTACACCTAAGCGTACATAAAATTTTCATGCAGCTATAAACGGCTGGCAATTGTGAACGTTTTTCGTTTGTAACTATCTTGACATAATTTACAAATGGACATTAAAAAAAATACGAGCCAAGACACGAAAATCGCCTTTCGCGGCTTTCTTTTCACTCGTGCACACATACACTGGTTTTTTGAAAACCGCGGAATCGAACAGGCACCCGACGCATATGAGCGACGGTAAAAAGCGCAAAGCCTTGATAAAGCACATTGAAAGCGGTTAAAATACATAAAATAATCAACACGCTGGCTGGATGGAACTACGAAAGTAAATGGAAAAACTTCAGTTTGCTAAAACAAAGGAAAGCACGTCGAAATCGATATGAAAACGAAAAATATGGAAAATAAAAATAATATGAACCCCCTAGGGTGTAATAGATATTTTGAAATTGCGCGGACGACATTTAAAGAGACGGGCTAATAAGTTGAGTTGAATGCAAACATAATACCAGCAACGTTCGTAATTAATTTCAATATGAAATTCAAATATTTACTCTTAATTGCATACATTCACGGTCAACACACGTGCAAAAATGCATCGTACAACGAATAAACTTGCAAAAATATATACAAAAATGAAACAACAACATCAATAAGAGAACAATAAAATCTACAGTCAAAAGTTGACGATTACTCGAACGATAGTTGAACAACATCGTAAAAATGTAATTTTTAATTCGATCTATAAAATGTAATACCGTCGAAACGAAAGAAAAACAAACGGAAACCACGAAGAAAATTGTTAGAGAAAAAACAAAGAATTATATTGCTACAATTTGATTGTGTACGAAAATGCTCGTGTTCTTTGGTTTTTTTTTTTTGGTGTAACTGAAGAGTTTGTGTGACATTAAAATTTTAATTTGTTTTTGCATTTTATTATATACCAATGAAAAAGTATCGATAAGATCCTTGACGATCAGCTGATGTTGCCAGAATATATTTTCCGGATTTGTTGGAGCAAAAGGAACAAAAATATAAAAAAAATATAGAGAATTAGAAAACTAAGTAAAATCGCTTTGGATCGAGGAAAAAAAACGCTGTTAATTACAAACGTAAAATCAACAATCAAATATCATTCTAATCAATGCAATGGACATTTTTTTGCAATGGGCTGGTACCACTAGTGAAAAAAATTGATTAATTTACCGTTTCCATTTTTAGCGTCGTTGGTTGGTCCGAAAATGTTCGATACCATGTTGTTGCGCACAGTGCGTGGTGTCGATGGGAGGCTTCCGCCAAAAATGTCACTGCTACCACCACCCGGTGGTTTGAGAACTCTGTAAATAAACATGAAAAAAATCAATTTAACATTCAGTGCATTATAAATTAATACTAAGAACTAAAAATAAATTAATGGCAAAACACTTGAGGTAGACTCTAATTTACTGAACCATTTGCAGCTATTGACACAATACAAAAAATGGTGTTAATTGACGTAAAATTAACGTACCCAAAGGCAGTTACTTAATAACAGTCATCAGTAGGTTAATTAATACGTTTTAAAGTGTTCGTTATTTTATCTTCATATTTGTCTCGTCAATCTCTGTCTATATTATCACAGTTGGCTAAATCTAAATAGTTCAATCAATAAAAGTGGTTTTATTGCCATTTTTCTTAGCTCATCGTTCTACATTTATCATTGTAATTGCTAATTTCTTGTAGGTTTGATGAAATACAGCAGTAAAAAAATGCTATTATAACCGAGCACAACAAGAAAATGTAATTGCTACAAATTTCATATAAATTTCATTGAGAATCGAATAACAGTAGCTCATGGATTGTCAACGATTTCGAGGGAAAAATCGCGACACAACATGAAATTGCGCTTTATTTGCGATTATTTCAATACCAAAATATATAATAAAATAAATACTGCATTTTTTCCGTGCTCTGATTTACAATAATATCCGACGAGTTGTTTTTTTCTCTTTCGGTTCATTTTTTTTTTTTCGTCGGTTAGTCGATTGATGATACGAAAAATGCTTGCACCGACCGGTACTCAATGACTTTGCGTGTTGTTATGCCAATATACACGAGAAAGAGACACAAATAAAACAAAACACGAAATTATACCAGCAAAATGAGAACAAATGAATGTATATATTTAACATTTATTTGCCGAAAAACATGGGCTCATCACACCGCCAAAAGTGTACTAAACGCTATGCGGTGGGAAAATACGATTTTGCTTAGAACCCGAAAACAAAAATGGATGGAAACAACATATTGACTTTTCAAAAGCTGGTATTGTTGAGCAATACTTCGGTCAATTATTCTTTTTCGATGAATACACCAACCAAAATAAATGAAAATATTTTTCCATTTCCCAATGTATTTGGAATAACCTTGTCATCGAATTGTTTTTGTTTATATTTTTGTAAAATGACAGAGAGCAAATGAAGCAGAAAGTGCTGGCTGATTTGTTGTCTTCCATTTGATTTCCATATGGTGTAGTTTATTTGGAAAAAGAGACAAACATTATAAAAGTTTTCATTAACTTTCCATATGATGGCGAAATTACACTGCTTTCGGTGTGCACTTTTCTACATATTCCACTTCAATTTGTTTTGTGTTTTTTTTCCGTTGAAAAAACGGAACGGTACTTTCTTGTCGACGGAGCATTGTCATCGTAACTTGTGCATTTTTATTGGAATTTCTAATTTTCGCGTAAGTGATCAAAAACATGCGTCCAAAATCAGCATGCAATAAACAGTAAACGTTCAAATTCCATTCTTGTTTGTATCTCACCTTGAGAGAGTGCACGAAACAAAATACACTGATTCGGTGTAGACATGAATATGCGGGTATAGCATTAAAAGATTTCTCTGCATACAGAAACCAATTAACCATAAAAAAACAAAACATACAAATTTATTAAGACCAGTTAGGTAGCTACTAACTGATTTTCCTGTCTGTTACTTTTCGATTTGACGATTAGTAAATAGATATAAAAAAATCTACGCTACAACTCAATAAAACTATCGCTATTTTATTTTCTATCTCTCTCTCAAATAAACGATCATTTTTTTAATGACTGATATAAGCGGCCCCTTTTTTCTTCGCTAAAAACAATTAATTGAATAAAAATTGCAATGCCAACCAAATGCAACCAACAAAAATGCCAAAGAAACATACAAGCCTCATTGATTGGATGGCAGAAAGAAAAAAAAGAAATCGATGCAAGTTTTTCTGTTTCTTCATTCAAAATCAATAAAACCAATTACATATGAAATTAATGCAAACGATGTGTGGAATGTATTTTGTGTCAGTGATCCGTCCGTGTTTCAGTATATGTAGGGAGAAAAGTCGGAAATGATTGTATCACTCTTTCCGGCATACCAATATAAAATTGACAAGATAATTATTGTTGGACGTTCTTAGGCATCAATTACCAATTGCCATTTAGATTCAAACGTGCGAGGAATGTTTTTTGTATGTTCTTATTTTATATGTGCGGTGCGGTGCGTTCGATAGATGGCCACGATAATTGCGACAGTAGCAGAGAAAGATAACGGTTGCTTTATGCAAATACATCGTTAAAAAGGCAAACAAATCACAAACAAGCTTCATTGCAGCAATGACATTCATATATCTTACAAATTGATAAGCAACACCGAGCGCTTGCTATCGATTCACAAAATCGCTTCGCATTGGAATCTTTGATGTTTCAATTGCATTATTATTTACACTTGTTGAATGTGACACATGCAGACTGGGCAGAGCGATGCGAAGAGAGAAAGGGAGATAAAGAGACAGAAATTGCGACAAACAAATGACACAAGAAATATGTTACAAATGACCAATTGACAAGATAAAGCCGCACAAGTCGAACTTCAATCAACCAGTGCAGGTTTTAACATCGATATTGGACTCATTCAATATAAAATTACTTCGTTGAAATGATTATGTTTGTTTTCTCATCTTTAATTTAATGACAATTCAATGTACAGAGCAGATATGACTTTTTCTTGCATTGAACTTGTTTTACATATCACCCTTTTTATTGCGCACAACAGTCACCACGGTGCAAACGAGATTTGTAATGCCATAACAACCATCGTGTGCCTACATAAATTGAACATAATTTCTTTTTTATTTAATAAACAAAGGCATTTAGTTTATTTTCCAATCATTTAAACGGATTTAAATAGCAAACAGATAATGTCAAATAATTTTTTGCATTTGAAAGATAACAGTATTTTAATTAATATATGCACGATTAATTAATGGAGAATGATTTATCTGTGATTTTTATTGATACGATAAATAACTGTTTAGTATCAGCGATATCATATAACTAATATGAACCATTTAGTGAATGGCAAACTTGATTTGAAGATGAAATTTTATGACTTGATTTGATTTTTTCACGGCACCAGCAATCAAATTCAAAGGAATCACTTGAAATCAGTTTAATAATGTATATCAAGGCTTGAAATCAGCCGAAACTTATCTAGGTTTCCTTCGTTTTAAATTTTATGTTTATTAGAACTCTGATGGAATGGTATCAATATCGAAAGGTTTAAAATATGTTTTACTGAACGTAACGAAATCACAATTCTGTTGAAGCTTCGCATAATCTCATATAAAATATCGATCAAATGTTTGAGTCATTCGAAAAACTTATACTATCAATGCAAAAGGTTTTTTCTTCGTTGAAAGTCAAAAGTGTCATAAAACCGTGATATATATGGAACTTGAGTAATAATCTTGTATATTTGATGTAAATCAGTGAAATTCGACGAATTGCGAAAAAAAAATTGGGTCGACTATGAAGAATACTGTCAAAATTTATTAATATTGAGCACGTAACAACTTAATTTTTCTTTATTTTATTCTCGCAATTTTTGTTATTTCGTGCCGTCGCTCATTTGAACGCTAAACGATTTCGCGAAATGAAATCCGAAACGATTGTAACGCATGTGAAATGAAAAGTCATGGTATGCGAAATAAAAAAAAAATCAAACGAACGTATCTGTGAGAAATGCCGACAAAATTCAATTTCGAATACAAAGAAATGCTCTTCTCTTTCCTATTTAATTAAGCCATTGATGGTGCATTTAAAAATGATCCAAGCCGAATGTCTTGTTTCATTTCAATGGAATATCCAATTAAATTGAATGCAATTTTACATCAAATGTACAAACCGTTACGAATTTCACTGTTTACAATAGCAATAGATACGCAACGAATTAATCTGGAATACCTAATTAATTTTAAAAAACAAAAGTGGAGTACGCGCCTCGTTTTCACAATTAAGGCGAATCAATTTCCGGACTCTTTTCATTTCAATTGCATTCGTCTGGCTACGTTTCTATTCTATTTCTCTACATCGTTGAGTGACATTTGATATAAACAGCGGCCATTGATAGGCCATCCATCCATGTTCGATTTATATGTATCGCATAATGGCGAAAATCAGTGAGTTCTACATTTTTAATATGGTTGGCAAGCAACATACAATTCTTCGTGTTGAAAATAATTTCACGTAATAAAATTGGACAGTTAGACCCAAATAAAAAATGAACCGGTATAAATACAAACATCATCCATCATTTATAGCTTAAATTTTAGTTGGCAGACAATGTGTAACTGAATTATTACATATCATCATCACAATTTATTCAACATAAACATTATGCACACATTTGGTTTCATTGGCACGTGCTATCCAGCAACAAAATATGGACGGTACCACTGTAAATACAATGATAGAACAGGCATAACCGCAATAACGAGCAGCATACAAATCATAAAAAGCAAAATGCGATAACCGTCCAGTTCTCTGTTTCGTGGGTATACGAACCGCGTCGCAGTTGTGTCGAAATACACCATGAACTTTATGGTTGCTTGTTTGCCGGTGGTGCATTCGATAAATGTTTATTTTCATAGTGTATATACACATTTATTCTTGGCTGTATTTACTTGACGCCGTAATATGATATATAATTTTTTTTACACCGACTCAAACAGACACATAAATTCGATGTTTATGCGGCTCTTATGACGGTGTGTGTGTGTGTATGTGTCTATTCAAATGAACTTCCTTATTAAATTGGTACGACAACAATTGTTTAGAGAAATATGTGCCATGCCCATATTTTTACATTGTATGGGGATTCAAGAGTTTGACATCCTATGCGTAAATAATGCGTGAGGTATCACATTGAAAATAACAACTGTGTGTGTTTAATTCTCAAATCGACAGTCGTTACATGGGATTAATATCCATAGAATGGAAAACAAACAAAACCTACCGAATTGGCTACAATTTCAT